ATTCAATTGTCATTTATGTGATTAAACTGAACTATACCGAAATAATATGTGACCATTCATCTAAACTTACCCAAAATGTATTGGTTCTAGTTGAATCCTTAATCGTAATGATATGGATTAGTTCCATTTGAATATATTCAAAGATTAATCTTTTGTGAACACGTAAGTTATTGCGTTTATTAACTTAAAATTATTGATAACATATTATTTATTTATTTTAACAGATAGATATCGGTACAAGGAGGCACCAAATACATATGCGTTACACAGAACTCATTTGATATGTGTGAGGGCTGTGATACTGACTGGGTACCCAAACCGAAGCAGGTCGTTTTCTTAGGAGACCACACCCGGGGCCTTCGACCTGAAGGTCTGATCCGCAAGGCAGTGAAGGAACGTAAGGAGATGCAGTCCCATCGTAGCAGGTGACCAACGATTGGTTCATACGCCATTTGTTCCTTCGGGATACTGAAGCCCATGTGCACCAATGGTTTGAAACCAGGGTTTTCCGACTCCCCTAGGTGGACTCTCCATGTCCACCAACCCGGTTAAAGCTTCGAACATTCGTTTTTCGTCCTCTCAATTCCGTAAACAACACGAGAAGGTAGTGAGTAGAACTCCTGTAACAGTGACTATATACGCGTAGCCATGTGAGAGCATTTCGAGAGGGAGAGTGGGCTCTCCTCACTCTCGGCCGTACCAGGGCATTGATAACATATATCTTGATTGTTATCGTAACTACTTCCAAAGATCTGATTGAAAAAACATATATATTACATATTTTCTAATATTCCAATACTTCAATAAATTACTGATTCGTTTAAAACGGTTACCACGTTACAGAAAAACTCTAAATAATTTGATAAACTAAATCTAACTACTTATAATCATATAACTAGTCATAAACATTAGTAAATTTATTACTAATGAGTACAATAGCTAATGATTCCATGTTTTTTGTTATGTACCTCGTTTATCCATAAAATAATAAACAATGAAACAGAATTTTAATCAACATTTAGATTTATTCAATCTAATGACAAATACAAAAAACAATTTAGACAAAAATAAGAATCAAAATAGAGGAGAAGAAGAAGAAAAAACAAACAGCACAAATTAAGACATATAAGCAGACAGAAAAAAACTAGATGATGATATGCATCGAAAATTTTTATCTTCTTTTCCTTTTTTTTTTAAAAAAAAGGAAAAGAAAGTAATCATGAACATGAAGTATTTGTTATGATGAATGAAAAGATGAAGACACATAAGTGAAGCGTAATAATTTCAACATATTCAATAATATTACACAAAATAAGACAAATATATATGAAAAATATCAGGAATGCTCTAAATTGTCATGTTATCATCAAATAAGATTGAAATCTATCTATATTGAAATAGAACATAAACATGGAAACCAATGATTTCAATTGAAAAGAGAAATAATATATGAAGATGAAAAACTTTGAATGTAGAGAAATTACTATGTAAGATATGTGTTGCTAAAGAATTCAAGCCAAAACTATTATTATTATTATGTGTACATGTTAAAATACTAGAAAAATAATAATCACATTAAAATCTAAGACTAAATTACAGTGAATGAAGAAACAAAAGAAAATCAACAAAACATTGTATCAATTGTATATTTGTAAAACACACACACACAAAGTATAATAATCATTTGAAGCATACAGTAGGATAAAAAGAAGAAATCTGCTAGCATTTCATCTGTCAATAGCATAAAAATATAATGTTACATTATTGAAGATCAAAGCAATTCATTAAGCATCAGTCAGTAACAACGTAGAACTTCGTACGTACGTACATCAGTTCGAGTTGCCACACCACATTAGCATAAGCATAAGCATAGATGAAATTCTGCATAAAATGATGTTTATAAATTATTAGTAGCTATGATCTATTGTGAACGTTTAAAAAACAATCATTAAAAAATAAATATATAAACTAGGAAACAAAATAAATAAATTTCATAGACAAACTAACAACATGAATATAAACACATACAACAATAAACGCTCGCGGGAAAATAAAAAACAAAACAACAACAACAATACAATAACAGAACTTTACACAGAAATCAATTTCATGATGACAGTAATAATATGACTAAAAATGCATCAATACATAAACGCGTTAATTCATTAGTTGATATTCCACAATTTTTGTTTTCCTTGAACAATCTATTCAGTGATTATTATTTCATCTTTTCTAATACTTGTTAAAGATGAACAATATTATTCTAGAGGAAAAAAGAATAACTTTTAAAAAATCAAACAGAAAAAAGGGAACATAGTGACAGGATACAAATAGAAAATATAACTGGAAGAACAAATTATATTGTTCTTATAGAAAACAAAATATGAACCACAAAAAAATGAAAACAGATCATCTTTTGGAATTTCTCAATTCTATTGAATTTGACTATCATTATATATATATATATATATATATATATATATATAATAATGATGGTAGGAGAAGGAGTGGAATGAAGACAATTCAATAATTTATACTGAACTATTTATGATGATGTAATATAATGTTTCTTGCATAATATAAATTGGAATCTCTACATGAAATACTTTTTTGCTCATTCGAAATAACAACAATTTCAAATCATAAAACAGTTAATTATTCACAATGGCAGAGATTGTGTGTATGTATTGCTGTGAACAAATATGTCGAAGAAATAAATATTTTTGCTTTCAAACACCTATCGATATAAATTTAAGCCTTAAGCACAGACGAAATAACTCATATAGAGTAGGAATTTATTTTGGAAGACATAGTGATGGAAGTCAAGCTAAAAAGTAAATAAATATTAAAAAAACATTAGGACATTTTAAGTACCTTACAGTGTACTAATAAAGTAAAATATCGTCTCAAAAGCATATGATCCTGATATTTGTCATTCATTATAAAGAACTGACAATCAAAAATCTACGCAACTTCAATAGTTGATAATCAACAATGTAACACGCTTTAGTGTGTATAGATAAAAAAAATATCTAGAAATATTCAATCTCACATCTTGTTATGTAATGTTTAGTTTTTCCGAGGGACACCTAGCTTGCATATCATACAATCACATACAATTATCAGAACAACGAGGAAACTCATGTATATTTAAGAGATTTGTTTCAGTTGATCTTTTCTTAGAATTAAAATAAAATTTATATGAATCCACTTGGTATTGTTTTTTTGATTCTTCCTATTGATGTTTAGGATTGCGATTGATCAGTCTGCTATTGGCATATGTGCATACTGTGTGTATTACCTCGATATAGCCTTGATTCACAAGCATTATTGCACAAGCAAGTGGCTATCAGGACTCAGTAGCTAAGTGGATAATGCGATGGCATTTGGAGCGAACGGTAATGAGTTCGAGTCCTAGAGTGCATATCAACTCTGAGATACAGGTACATCCAGCGTTCCGAAATAGGACGAAACGCGCGTCCTGGATTCCAATGCTAGCCACTATCCGTCGTTGCCTGTATGAATATTTTTCAAAAGAGGATGATTTTTAAAAAACTACTATTACAATTTCATTTCGCTCTAATTTTACGTTATATTACTTTGAGTTATTCATTTGTTCAAGTAATATTATGCTATTTACATGCCAGAAAGACTACGATGACAAATTCTTTTTCTAAAACACCAATTCATTATGAACATTAATACTTTTTTTTGTTTCTTCTACTCATAGAATTACTTTCTACTACTCTTATATGTACTTGCTTTTATTTGAAACGAATTATCATTCTTTGAATGGTAATCTAACTAGTTTTCAATACATTGTTTCTTGATTTATGGTAAATGCTGTCTGTTGTTATATACTAATTTGACAAATATATTGTCACTTTTAGTGCTTTTCAGGTGATGTAACTGAAACTTGGGGTTTTTAAATACAGTGTATTTTTTTCCTTTTTCATAAGAGTGTTACACTTGCAGACCGATCTTGTATTTATTCTCTAGCAAAATATAACATATTTCTAAAAAAACAAAATGATTACAATTTATTAGACACGATATCACAAGGCACTTAGAAATAATCAAACTATCGAAATGTCAACTACAGGTAAACAGCTTTCAACTACATTCTACTTGCTTCAATTTGATCAAATAAATAAAAACAAATCTACAACACAAGAGCTCAGTTTATAGAAATACAAATGAAGGTATCTAAATTAGTGTTCTCAGAATTAGTGAGGAATCACGTTTAACACACCTATATTTATCGTTATAGGTCTAATAAGTTTCAGAAATAGCGATTTTTTAGGAATACTCCCTACTAAATTAGAGTTTAACGAATTGAGCTTTCTTCTACATAATACATTTTTGAAGGGGAAATTAGGAAAACACGTTGGAAGTGGATAGGACATACGTTGATGAAATCATCAAACTGCATTACGAGGCAAGAGCTGAATCGGAATCCTGAAGGGAAGGGGAAAAGAGGAAGGTCAACAAACGCAGTGTGTCGAAAATTGGAAACAGACATGGAAGGATGAATAGCAACTGAGAAGGATTGCCCAGGACAGAGTTCTATGGAGAAGGCTGGTAGGTGGCCTATGCTCCTCCACAAGGGGTAACAGGCGTAAGTAAGTAATAAATAATGCTTGAGCACATCCAGCTCCAAACAATGCACTACAAATAAGCTCTGATATATATATATATATATATATATATATATATATATATAACTCATAACACTTATGAAATTAAGAAATTTTCCATAAAACTACGATGTAGATGACCATTATCCTATGAAATAAACTAACTGATCTCTTGTTCACAACAAAGAATGTTAAATTCGAAACTTAAAATAGTGACAAAAATTGTTACTTACGTGAACAAAACGATTGAATGATTTTATTAAAACAAAATTCGATTGTCATTCAGCTGATAATTGTTTATGTGTTAAACTGAAATGCATCCGAACATTGTCCCGCTTTTTCCAGTGAGGTTATGTATATGCTCTAATGAATACTATTGAGATGAGAAGACTGTGATGATATGACTGAGAAACGATTATCTGTTACACTCACTAGAGAAGTATTCCTGTCTTCTTTCTGTTTGATAGAATACTTAGAAGGCTGTGAAAAGTTTATAGTGAAATTTAATTTCAAAGGTCCACCACTTTCATTGGTTGAAACTAGTTGACCCTAGAAATAAAAAATAGGCTACATTTCCTTAGTAGAAAGAAGGAACATAAATGATTTTATATATATATATATATTGGTAAGAATGAATTTACCGATGATATTTCAGTAAATACACACCATTTATATTCGGTTTCGTTTCAGAGTCACTAGCTTCTATTTATCTGCCAATCACCAAAATGTGCCACTTTCATGAACATAACGTAAGACCTCAATTTTTCACTTATTGTACTCATCCCTTACTGTTCAATATGCACAGATTTGTTGCTTCCCAGTTCCGCTAGTATACTTCATTGGTTTATGTTCTCGCACTAATTGTGCTAACTTGTATTTAAAAAAAGTCTTAAATTTTTTTTTATTTGTTTTGACTTTAGCTACACCACAGTTCCGCGTTCGAGAGTTAAGGGACTCGTTTAGCAGAACATATATATATATATATGCTCAGTAAGTGATATCTAGCATTTTCCACCTCATTTCATGTGTCAATCCTCCATATAAGAATGTGGTTTTCACTGGGGAATTCATTTTAATTATCAAAAGTTATCTATGTTTTCTGTGAACACGCTACTGCACCGCCTTTCGACTTGACAGATGAAAGGTGCAAATAAAGTCAAAGTTACGGCTTGCAATGAAATGTCCAGTAAAAACTATGTTCTTGTACCCAGCATTCATCCACTAAATAAACGGAAAAACGCTAGATATTGCGCACACTTTGAACATTGGGAGGGAAATGTACTTGAAATTTACACAGGTATAGCATCCCTATACGAAGACTGAATTCCCCACAAAACAAGATGATATAAAATGAATGATTGTGTAGAATATGTCTTAGAGTTCACCAAAACTATCCTAACAAAATTTAATGAACGGCATAATGTTTCCAAATACACCTTAAGATGAAAGAAAGTTGATAATCGTCATGCATAATGGTTACTTTCCCCTATATTAAAAGCTATGCAAAATGATAGCTAAATGAAAGAAGGTATATAAAACTTAGCTCTTAAAAATTGGATACCGCACACAAATTATGGATAACATTGTTAGGAAAAGGGAGTAAAATTAAAGAGGAAATAATGGTAATAATAAATAAAACAAATTATTAACAAGAACAGTGCATAATGAGAGAGACAGTTCAGTTACCTATACAAATGATATTTCAGAATTTCTCAAGCTAAAGAAATTACTCTAAAATGCATAAAGAATGTAAAAAAAATTACAGCACAACCACTACTAGAATCTGCCCTCAGCCATGTCCGATAACGTCTCACACCAATGTGTTTAGTGATCTCTCAGATGTCAACCAAGGAGTCGTAATGAATCCAGAGATGTCAGTCCTATATAAATTTCTTTTATATCACGGTCTCAAGCCATTAACGAAATATCACTCTGGTTCTTATCAATTCAGTCCAAGTATTGGCAATTAGTACACAATGTGAAAGACTCTAAGATGACATTCGCAAAACATGTCCATGCCACCGAGGCTGTTGTTTCAAAATGATGACATCAATAAAGTTATTATCATTGAGCTCGAACACGCAATGTCAAAGCTAAGGATTACTGACATTGCTTCAACGATAAAAATAATAATATAAAGAATTTCACAAAAAAGTAAATTGATTAAAATAGAATATGATAGTTGGTTGAATAATCAACATGGAAATTACTTGTCTGGTACGATCATTTGAATCTAATTACTGAAATTTATCGTACAGTTAAAAAAAATTGAGTAAAATATGAAAGTTTCAAAGAAATTATGGTAAAGACTTACTTTTCTTTGATGTACTCTTAAGTGTCTTGTAATCATATCACGCCGAGATGCAGAATAATAACATAATGAACATTGATACGGTCTTTGACCAGTATGTGTTCGTTGATGTGTAGATAAATGATCAGATCGACTAAATGCTTGACCACATATTATACATTCAAATGGTTTATGACCTGTATGTACATGAGCATGTCTTACAAGCATATCAGAACGAGTAAACTGACGAGAACATACCATGCATACATATAAACCATTTGAAGTTCTATGCTGAATAAGTGAACTATTAATACTACTACTTTTGTTAGTATCATTAGTAGTGGTAGAAGTGGTATTACTACGTTTATTAGAAGTAAGTGTTCGTACAGATGAAAATGTGTTAAATGTGGTACAATTATTGGTAATATTCGACACAGTTTGTTTACAGCTTGATGAATTTTCACATTGATAATTATCAACATCCATAAATTGTAGGTCGGAATAACTTTGAACAAGAGTATTATTATTATTATTATTATTATTATTATTATTATTATTATTATTATTATTATTATTATTATTATTAAACATAGAAATCTGATTAACATTAGTGGTATTTATTTGATTGGGAGCAATCGAAGTGTTTATAAAAGGTAAATGAGACTGATGTGTAATAGTTTGTTCATTCATTTTCGAATTAGTAGTAATAATAGTAGTAACAGGAGTGGTAGAAGTAATAATGGTGGCATCAAAACGTTTTTCTGGCATGATATGAGTCGGTGAAAATAATGATGAATGAAGAGGTGTAGTCGAGAATTTGTGATCATCTAGAATAAAGGGTATAACAACAAAGTAAACATAAATTAATATATAGGTAAATAAACCATTTACAGAGATTACGGTGGTCACGGATTGATGTTAACTTAGTATTCGGAAGTGATAAATTACTTCATCATCGCATAAAACTTGATTGGACTGAAACAGCTGTATTTTTAAACGGCTACTGCTTCTTTTTTAATTTTTACTTACGAACTAAGTCAATCGAATGATTTACTGTTGAGGCTTATTGGCAGAAGTCAAAATAACATCTCTGAAAAATTTAGATAGAGTCATTTTCTTAATCTTTGAGAATCAGAATCGTTAGATCATTTGTTCTGAGGTTGATATGAATGATATATTGGCTTCATCGTGATTTTCAACATCTCAGTAGGATAGAGCATCCCATTAAATCACATAAAATTTTTTCAGATGAAAAAGTATGGTAATAATAATGGCAGCACACAAATGGACGATTACAATGATAAGGGTGAAACTGTATATACATTTTTCATGCATTAAATGATCACTGAGCAGTAACCAATAAAATCCTTATTTAGCTCATAGTGTACTAATATTACCGCTATTATTAACGATGTAGCTACTACCAACACTTATACTACTAAGATTACTACTACCCCCATATGTAATAATCCTTTTCTACGTTCTAAATACGTCTTTATAAACATGATGGTATAGAGAGTAAAAAAGTGATATACCTATTGGATATCGATATTTGAATAAAGGACTTGAGGGATATGAAACAGATGTTTCAACTGATGTATATTGTTGCTGTCTGTGAGTAGTACATGTTGAAGTTAACGTCGATGATTCTGAATCAATTGACACTGTTGTATATGGTTGACTACATACCAACAATAAAGAATTAAACGTTGAATTTTGAATGCTATGATTGTTTACTGAACTATGTATTGAATGTAAAAAATTAGGAGAGAATACAGTAGTAGCGGTAGTATTAACAGTATCGTTATTATTTATGGAATGCTTTGACATTTGACTCATAGATGTCTCTGCCAATGAACGATATGATGATTTTTGTGAATGTTGTGGTTTACTAGCATCCACTGAATTTTTCTCAATCACTTCCGGACACAGTAAATTATCGTTTGAATTATGCATACCAAGTAAAGTTTTCAACTGATTGTTCGAATTAATTTCCAATAACGGTGATGTTGAGTTGTCCAAACATGTATACAACGAACTATTCTTCCCATCGGTTAAAATTTGCATTACAGTCGGTTGATGATCACTTCCCTTCATATCGTCTGAATAACAGTTATTGCGCAATAGTGATTGTAATTCATTCAAGAACTATAAGATAAAATTAAACAATGATATATTGTCATAATTTGTAGAAAAAGATCAAAAGGTGAAACGTTTACAAAAGTCTAGTTAGTTAAGCATGAGAAGAATAGATGTGATAATTTGTTGTTCGTCATTTATTTAACAAGTACATTTTCGTATACTCGATTATACCTCCAGAGGATCAGCTCTATGGTGTATTCAACAGGAAATCAAACAAAATACTTTTGATCAATTGAATATAAATGAACAGCAGTGAACCATACAAATGAAAAACTATCTACTATATCGCTTAACTTGACATCAAGATATATGTTAATAGGAAAGTTACAGAGAATGGAAGCACTCAATATGTTTTCGACAGTGTCACTGTCATCATCTACTTGATGGTGAAGATAATTTTAACACTTCAAAACCGCTCAAGATAAACAACAACAAAGAAGTGGTTATGTTTCCGCGAGACCACCGCTACTTGAAGATGGAAACCGAACCCACACATTCAAAGGGATACAGCTGTAAATCTCCTACTACTCTAGTGACTCATAATTTTCATCACTCAGTTACGTAATATCTTCTCTCAGGTACTCAGTGGAAATGTCTATTCTTTCATTCTTACTTCATTTTTCAGTTTTGCCCATTTTACTTGGTTGGTCTATCCAATTTTATAATTGACATTAATTTCCATTTTCTAAACATGTCTACATATGTTTTAAACTTTTTCTCCAAGGCAGTAACGAGGAAGAATGTGTTTGTAAAATCTCAGCGAATGAATTTGAAATAAATTCAACGTTTCACTGAGATCTTAGGAATACATTCTTCCTCCTTAATGTCTCGCACTACCTTGACGCCCAAATACTGTAAAACTATTCATTCGAATTTAGACGAAATTTGTTATATTATCTTCCAAGAGCTTTAATAACATATAAATGTTATTCCACTTCACCACTCTGTAATTCATCTATACTTGTCATTATTCGACAGATCTTCATTAAAATGATACAAAGTATGTACATTGGTTATAAAATAATCATTAAACAGCTGAACAAAAAGCCCTGAAGTACATGAACTCATCTTATTCCTCATGGTTTGTTATTTTTACTTTAGTCAAGATGGTAAAAAAAAGATTTACCAAATAGTTGTCGACATTCTAATGACCAACTCAATGCCTATCTAGACTAACATTTATTAAAGTAACTGCGCTTTGTGATATATATTACCACAAATTATGTAGTCAAAAATGAAAACAAAAAGTAAAGAAGCAACTCATGTCTCACATTAGGATAAAAACATGGGGTTGAAATAGCTTGTTCATAATTTTCGTTATTAAAAGATAGTTTTGTTTCAGTATTTGAAGAATCGGGATTGTAAATTCTGTCATTGATGGTGCTGATAGGATTCTGTGGATTCAATGTATTACAATATCGGTTGTGATTGGAAGAAACGGTTGACTGAATCATGTTCGGTTCATCTTTATATTTATTAGCCAATAGTTCTCTGGTTAAAATATCACAGAGCAATTTTCTCATGAGAGATTGGAAATTTCTGATTTGACTGTCCGCTGAATTCGTCAAAAAAAATGCAAAACACTCAATTTATTAGTGATATGTTATGCACAACGTAAGATTTATAAAATATTTACATAAACCTAAGAACCATGAAAAAAAGGAGAATACAAGTTAGTTAAAAACTCATTTCCTAAATATACATTTACATATTCGATTTTTAGACAAACTTTGAGCTAATGACACGGATTGTTTGCATAAACCAAGCAGTGGTTCAGTGTCTAAGGTAGTTGACTTTTCCCGCTTGATCTACTTCAGTCTAGGAAACTGGATTAATATAATTAGCTCTGATACTTTAAGTTTGGATTACACCTAAGCACCTGATGAATAAGTTGATTATTTATCTCTTTATTTATGACATGAAGTAGGTTAAAAAGTGTTCGAATTTGTAACCTTTCGGTTGAACGTTGATTATTTTAACCACTGAGACATTGTTCTGCATAAGTAGGTTCTTGTTATTTAACGAAACACTGTTCAGGTGCAGAAAAAGCCTTTTCCATGTTAAACCCAAATATGCTAGCATAACTCAACAACTATATAGAAATAGACGCACTGGACTTTGAGTTACAGATTGTGATGCAATCTAAAACGGTTGGATCAGCATTTCTTTTAAATTTTAACTTACAAACTAACTTTTTCGATTAGAAACTACTCAAATGTCAGAAAGAAACTGAAACTTTGTCAAATTAAACCGCAGGAAAACTCTTGCCTATGATTTTTTAATGTTCTGTAGATGAATACCCTTTTTCCACAGCTGATAACTTGACCAATTTCAACTATGTCAAGAAGTGCACATTATAAATAAAAAACTCGTAAATCCTAGCTCCTAATTTTAAAACTCCTAGACCCTTGCTCCTAGCCCTAATACTCTTAGCATTAACACTCCTAACGCAAACATATTGACATTAACAGTTTATTGAGCAAAGATAACATCATAATGAAAATCGTGAGTTTTAGCAGCGAGCTGTCCATAACAAAGTTTTGAATTCTTGCAACGGTCAGCTTAATTTTGATCGGTTATTCAAGAGCGCCAGTAAATTATAGTCTTACCCTAATAGGATAAAATGTATTTCAGTTCTAAACAGATCTGACAAATATTAATAACGTTATACAGTCATACTGAATAGATTGAAACAAAATTAACAAATAACAAGTATAATACATGAATTAGATTTCTTTCTATTGATCAACTCTTCAGGTATTGTACTTTTAGTTTCCAAGTGATAATTCGTATCTGTATTTAACGGCACCTTCATAGTTTTTTCACTGCTGTAATCTGTTTGTGTTTCTTTCAATAATGGGACATGTACCTATAACATAATAGAAAAGCACTCATAACTATGTACAACGTAGTAGCAGAGAAACAATGAGAAATAAAATGAATTATTCAACTTACTACTAAGTCGAAGAATTAATAAAAATAACGAACAGGAACAATGAAAGAACATTCACCAAAATTCAATACTAATCGAACAAATAATGAATACTATGAAACATTGAACATGAAATACACATTCCGATACGAAAGATCTTAGAACAAAATACACCGTAACTGCTTTAAACAAAACTACTGAAAACATAGCTAAAATAAATGAACAGGATGTATAGCTAACAAGCACAACTCCCATGAATGTATATGAACATAATTTAATCACAGAAAAAAGATCCATTATTTTGTAGCATTATTAATAGATCAACAAACACGAAAAAGAAACCATAACCGATCGCATTATTATCTAATACTTGAAATTTTGTAACATACTTTAAATTGATTAAGGGAAACAAAAATTAAGACCAGTTTGTGGTTTAAAATCTATGAAAATTTTTTAATCTCCACAAAGCCGTACATTGATACTAATCACGTGCTCACAAGTGATTAACTTCTAGATGATATTCCTGGAGTTAAAGTGAGAAATAGTGGCTAGTAGAGTCCAACCATATTGGGTGTGAGAGTTATCCACTGAAGGTAATGGAAAACGGTCGCTTAATATCGTGGATTGAAGTTAGACTAGTAAACCATTGGATCCGACACCGCAGTTTAGAGGTCAAAATTTCTTATGCGACATCGAAGACCTTAGGTTTGATCCCGAGATGCGGGGTCGTGTATGTGCACCGCTCAAGTACAATATTAGGATGAAGCAGTAATCCGATGCATCCAGGTTTTCGACGGTGGTCTAGCTAAGATCAATTCGTGATTTAGAATCTATGAAGACTTAATTAACAAAAAAGTACAGTATTAAAGAGTAAAAAATAACACGAAATCCACTAGACATATACATGAGCAATGGAAAACGAAATTTGATAGGGAAATCAAAAGAAAAATACAGACAATTGACATATTTCGAGTTCAAACAAGCTTATAAAATACGTCATTGTGAAATTATTCTCCTGAACTACAAATTTTTCCCACAGTTGGCTGGTGTTAGGTTTCAGATTTGACTAGTCCTTTAGCTCTGTGATAGTTGTAAGTAACAATAAGACACAAACCAAGAAAAAAAGATGGTTTAGTAAAATGGCATCATACTTAAAACTGTGATAATTCGTAACCTGCTTGTTACTGAAAACAATTTATCGATTAGAGTATGAAAGTAATAATACAAAAATAAAAGCATTGATTGTATAATGAATGATAAAATAGTTGTAGAAGTTGAAAAATAAACAAACTATCATCAATTAAACAAAGATTATTAATTTCATTGAACTCATGAATCGATCAATTTTAGAACACCATTGAAAGCCTGGAAGCATTGGACGGCTGTTTGTCCTGGCAAGTGACTCCTCAGCAGTGCGATCTCGCATGCAAGATTAGAACCCAGCACACTCGGTCTCGTGCGCAAACGCTCAACCTCTAGAACAATGACTCGGCACCCAATAGTGTCAGTGTCTAACTTCAATCAATCCACCATGTCGCGCGACCATGTTCTACTGTCTTCGGGGGGATAGGTGTCTCACACCCTACACGGTTTAACTCCACTGGTCACGGTTTGTCATTAGAACTTCGAGAATTCCCTCTCGAAGCTAATCACCAGTGAGCATATGATAATTTTAAGCTTGGGAGTGTGGGAATCGCCTAACATTCATCGGTTCAAAACTTCAATGAAATTCAACAATCTCCATAACCCCAAGCTGAAAAGATTATTAATTGTAGACGATAAATTGACTACATATCGATAAAATTAATTCGAAAGTTAAATCTATTCAGAAAGAGCACAAAAACAGTAACTAATTGATTAGGGATAAGTGAATTACAGAATGAGGGAGAGAAAATAAAGCCACAAATCACGGCTACAATATTAAAAAGGGATTGAATAAATTTTCTTCTTAGAAGTACAGTTCGTGATTCCAGATGTCCATAACAAACACAATTTTGTACAGCGTTCAAAATGAAATATTTGAAAAAAAGATTTCGTTGAAGCATTCTATTTTCGTTGTTTTAATTATTCACATGAATGTTAGTCTTTCATATCTCTTGTATATGTCATAGTTTGTTTTTACAAATAAAACAATGGAGTCATTTTTCCAGAGATCCTGATATCAGATTTCCAGTCAATAAGGTACTAGAATCGAGGTAACTTGAACCATTAACTGAAAACTGTTCAAGGGTGGAAGGAATAGTTGGAGATGTTGATGATATGAAAGGGAATCAGTTCCAATGGTGTAGATGCATTCGTGGTTCGTATCTCCCTTGCTGGAGCTAGTGGGTTTTGCACCCAAATGCCCTGGTACGGCCGAGAGTGGGGAGAGTCAGCTCTCACTCTCGAAATGCTCTCACATGGCCACGCGTATACAGACACTGCCAGAAAAGTCCTACTCACTACCTTCTCATGGCAGTCTATCGTTTACAAAATTCAAAGGATGAAAAGTGAATGTCCGGAGCTTTAACCGGGTTGGTGGTGGATACGAAGGACCCACCTAGAGGAATCGAAAAACCCTGATTCCAAACCAATGGCGCATATGGGCTCCAGGATCCTGAAAGAACAAATGGCGTATGAACCAATTACTGGTCACCGGCTACCATGGGACCGCATCTCCTGACGTTTTTCCACTACCTTGCGGATCAGACCTTTAGGTCGAAGGCTCCGGATGTGGCCTCTTAAGAAAACCACCTGCTTCGGTTTGGGTAGCATCATAGCCTACACACAAATCAAGTGACTTGTGTGGCGTAAATGCGTTCGATGCCCCTTTGTGTCAATATTTGTATGTTCAAATAAATAAACAAATAAAGATTCATTTACTTCTTGTATTCATTCAGATTTTGTAACTTAAATTTTACTGCACGAATACTTTCTTTTCTCCGTAATCATGCCTAATGCTTGCTTACTAACACGGATGCTGTTACTAATTCTACTACTCTGGTATTTATATTGATAATTTCATCTCAATGTGTTGACATAATGTGACAACTCGAACTGATGAATACATGTACTAGGTTCTACGTTGCTTATAACTGATTGGGAGATTGAAACGCATATTCAGATTCACCGAAAAAAACATTCTCAAATTTTCAATTATCTCTTTCATATTTCACTGTTTTACAATTTTTTTAATCGTCATGTGATCAATTTGAAACTGTATTCAAGTGTAAAGATTAATTACCGGATTTACTAAATAGTCCTATTAACACCTTGTTTCACAGTTGTACTAATAAATTACCATGGTAAGTTAATAACTGAAATTCCACGTTTATGATTAAAACATTGTTTTAAAACCAATTTTCATTGGGATCTCTATAAACTTACTCATTTATCCCATGGATCTTTTAGATTTTCTTCACTAATCAGACGATTTTTTTATCACTACTTAACTGTTGGAAAGGATAGAAAGTTGACTAATATTTCATAGTCGTATATTGATTAGATGCTGACATCACCGCTAAATATCGTTACATGCCGATCTATCAAACATATTATTTTGTCCGCTTTTCAAGTTGAAAGTTTTTGCATAAAAATACATTCATTTTTGTATGAGTTGTTCGAACTCATCTATTGTTTTTTTATTATGGGATAGTATAACTCCCAACAAGTTGTAGCAACTAGTATTGTTGGACAGATCAATTATTCTAATCATCCCATTTATTTTTTTCAACCAAATATTTGACTTTGTCAAGTACTCACGTGTGTACTTTGGAGATGTTTTATACTTGTGCATAAGATAGCAATTATAGATAAAATTATATTATGCCGACGGCCTTGAGTTGACCAGTCAGAATTAAGATAATGACTTGAGTATTTTGCGCGAAGTCTAAAATCTAGTAGAAGATCATGTGTATGTCATTATCAACCAAGTGAAAATTGACACTATTTGGTTTTTAAAATGTTTGGAACCAATGAAAATATTTACCAAGCAACCGAAAGGTGAGTTTTAGACGGTGGCTAGACTAAGTTACATAACACACCTGCTCTCAAGGCCGATTCTGTTTTAAAGAACATGATGTCGTTTATTGTGTTATCAAGTGTTCAGTGAAGTTTGATTACATTCTCAGTTTCCTACTCTTACTCAAAATCTCAATACTAAGTTTCTCAGTTTTGTAAACAGAAAGGTAAGAAGGCAATAGATTATAGATGATGTCAGTTCGTGTTGAAAATTGTGACCTTTATTAGTAAACCTACCTCATAATTAACCCTAATCCTTATGCATTATAACTGATGTCAGTTGATGGAAACTCGGTGTGATAATAACCCTAATCCACAACATTAGTCCGACTATTCATATGTATGTCTATAAGTAAACTCGCCTTTCTTTACTACAAGGAATAATTTGACTAGTGAGGGTTAATTATTACAATCAAAGTTGTTATTTCACTACTTTCTATTGTTAATTGTTTCATACACAAGCAGCATTTCCTGATAGGCTGATAGGTTGCCCAAGGTCGTCATTATATTATACTTCTACCCACGTATGTACCTATCCATTTCCAGTATTTCTTACATGACTATTAAGAACTGAGTCGTCTCTGAGTTTATGTATTATTAAACTCCAATACTTTATGTAATCTCTGCAGCCTTTGCTTTTTGTCTATCGTTCAATATAATTAACATGTCTGAAATGTACGTATCCTAAATACAATTCATATTCGACTTTTGATACCGCTGCTTTAAACATATTAGGTCGACGGAACATATGCCAAGTAAATAGGACATATATATCATTAAAATCATTACCACTCAATAATTACAGAGTCAACGATAGGCGCTAAAGAGCTAATAAATTTTAGTCTCTTGAATAGTTGACTATTATTTAGTTACATTGTAACATATTCATAGCATCAATTTACTGATATTAAGTTAGGGTCTATAGTAAAATACGCTTGTGATGTAACATAAATACAAGACAGACAGCCACAGGAAAGCAGGGAGCATTGAACAACTGTTCTAATCTAATACTCAGCTCATCAGAAATGCATAACTATGATGTGACAAGGACTGGCATTAATAATTTTCTGAATAAAGTCAATCTGTGACATAAACTACAATCTTTATACTAAACAGTAGTTGAAAACATCACCTAGTGAAAAAACTTTATTTATTTCAAGACGATGAGCAAATAAATATACAGAAAATATCTTTTCCCACCTTCGTTTGATGTATGAATCGCTTCTTGTAATAAAAAACATGTATTTTGTTACTTAATCATCTAAGTTGTTTACCACAATGAGACAAAAATTATTTTTCCACCGTAAAGCAATAAATAAACATTAGGAAACGATAATCAGATGAAATAAACAGGGACAATTTAAAGATATTGTAAACAAGAAAGCTAATTTAATTAATATCACCATAATTAAACCACTAATGTGCATAGGTCATATATATATATATATATATATATATATATATATATATATATATATATATATATATATATATATATATATATATATAATACTGAACTGGCCTAGACAAGAATATATGGCCGGTAACCTTGTCTAGATGAGTAATCTACTCACAGTGACCTCGCCCACATTTAGATCACTCACTTACCAAGTGCTTTTCTACAAAGCATGTGATAGGTCCAGCCTAACCTCAAGCATCATTAACTAGGATTCTAAACGATACAATTTCAGTTTGAGAAGGAAATTTGATTACCTTTGAGGTGTAGATTCCCAAAAGTTGATAAGTGTAAAAACTTTTAGGTTCATGACTGAACGAAATCTGTTTCAAAAACTAGATTAATTTTTTATGAAAAATGTTTTAAAGAAAATATATCAGTAATAGATCAATAATATTTACCATCTTAGTAAATGGACTGATTGATTCATAGATTGTACCACAGTGTGACATTGATTGACTCAACAAGTATCGATCAATTAATATTTTTTTATAATTTCCAGGAGATGTTACACCACCATTAAACATCGCCGGCGTCGAATTAGACATCTTACAAAACTCAGCATCTGCATTCGATCGACTAGTAACTGAAATGTTTGTAGACAGTGACTGATAGCTTCGATTGTTATTATTATCACTATTAGTATAAGTAACGTCAATGGTAGAAGTAGTAGTAATCGAAGTATCACCACTGTAATTTGTAAGTTCACTAATTGCTAACATGGAATTTGTCTTCGGAATACTGTCCACAGTTTGATTAAGGTTCATAATTGCATTTTGGAAATAATTCGTATTTGAAACGAAATCGTCATCTAAAGAACATAAGAAAAAGGAAGATGCAATTACGAAAAAATATATTAACAGATTTATTTAGATCAAAATATCTTATAGCCTTTGTAAGTAAAGTCTTTTATATTAATCCATAAAAAAACATACAGATATTATGTTCTCCTTAACTCTTAAAACCTGTTTCTAAGATGGCATTGCGGCCTAGAGCTCTTCTTGGGTTACTGTCGGTCCCAAGTCCAGGTAAAAAGGAGGGTCGTGAATACGGTCAGTAACCATATCTTGTAGAAAACAACCTTACTAAAAACAAACGCTCACCAGATTAAATAAATTAAACCATTCAAACGCTGTACACAGAGTTAAGCGATCATCATTCTGAAGAATTATAACGTCTCATGGTGAAAGCCGAGATTCTTCATAAGTTACGAAGCCGATGCCACTCATAATAACCAGAGCAACAATTAATATAAGTATATGGAATGTCTAGATTATGTGGGAGACAGGGATAACCAACCAAATAACTGCGAAAATGAAGAGATACAACTTCACAGTACTCGAAATCAGCGAAACCCATTAGACCCAAGCCGGACAGAAAGGATTACCTTCTGGAGAGATGCTATTTTACTCGGGTCACGAAGAAGAAAACGTCTCGTACACACAAAGAGTTACACTGGTGTTGTCCAAAGAAGTACGAAATGCACTTATAGGATGGGAATCTCATAGATGCAGGATCATCAAAACATCCTTCAAAACAAAGGAGGGAATCGCAATGTATGTTATCTAATGTTATGCACTCACCAATGATAGCATTGACGACGATAAAGATCAGTTTTATGAGAGGTTGTAATCGGTCATAGCGAAGTGCTAAAGAAAGGACCTCACCATCCTGATGGGAGACCTAAACTTGGACAAAACCGTATGGATATATATATATATATATATATATATATATATATATATATATTACCAGGATCTACATCGTTTGTGAGCATCCTATTGACTCAGTATCCTTTCATTATAACTCGGCAAAATTTAAGGAATTTAAGAAATTATTAAAGATCCGTCATGTTCATAATACATCCTGTCTTTTTTTATCAGAAAATGCAGTACACATAAATCAAGATGAATCAATGTCATAATAATATTCCGATAGTCTAGATAACAAAATAGGGCACCTTACTTAGATTTTAAAAGCGTTAATAATGCTAATTCAATAGTGTTGAGTAGCAATAGTAGAAGTGATCAGTGCACTCAGTCAGTCAGTTACAACGTAGGACCAGGCACATATATGCATCGGTCCAGGTTGCCATACCTCATTAGCACACCAAGATGAACATCGGATTCATAAATGTAGTTAATTCAGAGGTGGTAATATATAGGAGAAAGACTGCACTAGGGAAAGAAAAATGGATTTAAATTTTTGGCATTCTTATTGTTAAGTTAGATCATTAGCCTGTTTAAAATCGCTAATGTTCGGTATTCCAACGAAATAAAATTATCCTTACTTACTTACTTACGCTGTTATGTGTGGTGTGGATGCATAGGCCACCAACCAGCATTCTCCATCGAACTCTGTCCTCGGCAATCCTTTCCAGTTGCCATTTATTCTTTTGATGTCTGCTTCCAATTCTCGACACAGTATGTTCCTTGGTCTTGATCTCCTTTTGCCTTCCGGATTCCAAGTTAGCCCTTGCTTCGTGATGCAGTTCGATGATTTTCACAATGTATGTCCAATTCACCCCCAGTCTTTTCCTAATTTCCTCTCCGTGTTGTATTTGAGGATCTTGATTTTCCCTTGTGTATGTTGACGTCTTCAGACGTTTCTGCTACACAGGCCGTCTTGAAATGCATTTGCTCGTGTGTATGGGATAGAAGGACTAGGTCATCTGCGAAGACTACATCGTCTAGTTGCATTGCCGCTGCCCATTGTATTCCGTGCTTCCCCTCAGATAAGGTTTTCATAATCCTATCGATTACCACTAGAACAGGGAGAAAGGGTGGTGGTAAACAGCCTTGTCTGATACCAGTTTTCCATTGGAACGCGTCTGTCAACTGTTCTCCCTACGCGGCTTTGCAGTGTAGTCCGTCGTATGAATTCCGGATGATGTTGACTATCTTCTCAGGTACACTGTAGTGTCGAAGAAGGTTCCATAAGGTCCTCCTATTCACAATGTCAAACGCCTCGTAGTCAATGAAGTTGATGTGTAGTTGCGAGTTGCATTGAACTTGTCGTTCGACGATGATCCATGGTGTCGCAATTTGGTGTGTGCACGACCGGTCCTTATGGAATCTGGTCTGTCGGTCTGAAAGCTGGACGTCTACTGAACCTTTCATCCGGTTCAGCAACACTCTGTTAAAAACGTTTCCTGACACCGATAGAAATCTTATGTCTCTATAGTTATCACATATGCTGATATATTTGTTTGGTATCTTGATGAGATATCCTTTTTTCAGTCTATTGGCTCTTGTTCCTCCTCCAAAATAGAATGTGGAGCATGTTTGCGATTGCTTTTATATCCTAGAACCTCCTGACACGTTGAAGTTCGTGCTTCCTTGATTCTTTTCCAATTGTCCTCCATAATAGTTTCCTCGTCTTTGAGTACGTCTTGTAAGGCTTGTGTCCTGTCGTTGAGATCTATCTCGAATTCGTTGAGCATGTCGAAGGAAGACTGTATTGAACCTTTGTAATGCTTTTTCCCCAGTTGCCCAATGCTACTTTAGCTTCGGTTTCATCTTGAATACCATCAACTAGTGGTGATCTTAAAATATATCAACTCCTGTCGTCGTTCCCACGTCTTCCATCGATCTGAATTTTTTAGTGATGCAAATATGATCGGTCTGGTTCTGTGTAGTGTGATCCGATGAGACCCATGTAGCTTTGTGTATGCGTTTGTGTGGGAATATTGTACCACCTATAACCATTTTGTTGAGTGTACATAAATTTGCAGATTTGTCAACATTCTTGTTCCTTTCTCTCAGTCACTCCATATTGTCCCATGATATCTTGATACCTGGTGTTGTCCATTTCGACTTTGAAGTTTAGGTCTCCCATCAGGATGGTGAGGTCCTTTCTTTAGCACTTCGCTATGACCGATTACAACCTCTCATAAAACTGATCTTTATCGTCGTCAATGCTATCATTGGTGAGTGCATAACATTAGATAACATACATTGCGATTCCCTCCTTTGTTTTGAAGGATGTTTTGATGATCCTGCATCTATGAGATTCCCATCCTATAAGTGCATTTCGTACTTCTTTGGACAACACCAGTGTAACTCTTTGTGTGTACGAGACGTTTTCTTCTTCGTGACCCGAGTAAAATAGCATCTCTCCAGAAGGTAATCCTTTCTGTCCGGCTTGGGTCTAATGGGTTTCGCTGATTTCGAGTACTGTGAAGTTGTATCTTTTGATTTCCACAGCCACTAATTTATGATTCCCAACCACTATGTAAACAATGAAGACAAACACTAAGTACGAAGTTTTACGTCAAAGGTCGATTAGTGATCTTTACAACTCAGACGTGTATAAATATTCCAATAATGCCCAAACGGAGACATATGGTCAGTGACTCTGATTAGATGGATCATTGTCTTAATTTCAATGGATCACTCATATTTATGTTTAACATTCTATATAGTTTTATGAAAGTGACCACTGTGGTTTTTGTTACCCGATATATTTACACTTCACTATATGTTTGCTATAATATGCATAACATCAAACTATTTTAGATACTGTGATGAGGATTGCCATTATAAGATTATGTAAATAAATTGAATGAGTAATCGAAAATGTTAATTTGTTCATGTTACATAAAATATTAATTAAGTTTTACACTTACATAATGGTTTTTGTCGTTGTTGTTGTTGTTGTTGACACTGTTGTCCTTCAAGTCGATCAGTCTCCAACTTCATACATTGACGCCTTCTCCATCGTCTCATATATAATGATGATGTTTTTAAGGCATTAGAATTTAGACAATCCGGTAGTAGAGTTGTGCACTTTATTCAGGAATTGTATTTTCGATTATTAAATAAAACAGTAATTTTAAAAACAAAACACACAGAATAATACTCAGCAAAATAGACATTGACCTTTCGCTTCATGATAATATAGTGATTTATGGGGAAAAAAATTGTGCGAGAAACAATACTAATTAATTTGATAGATAGATACCCAAGACAATTGTTCCTTAACTGCAATGACTATTGAAACCTATCAACTAATGTTGGGTGATTTAGAGCGATTTGTAGAGAACCTTGGACCTAGATTTTGTGCTAGTTGGGACTTAGTTCTATGGTCACCTGCTGACTGTTTCCAACCATCTAACACTGAAACATAATGCACGAAAAATAGGAAAGATTCATGGACAAGAGTTTAACGATTGTACATGAACTGTCTAAGCCAGATCCGTGAAGATACGACGTTAAAGGTGAACAGAACCCTATGGACTATGCTTCTCGTAAACGATCTCTAGATAACGAAATAAAAATCAATGAATCGAGTGGTTAAAATGACCAAAACTCCTATGGGGAAACAAGGATAAGTTTCTAAGCTTCGAATAAAGTGAGAATATTGTTGTAGAGCATGTCAGAAGATAAATAAATACAATATTTAGCACGGTTATGGATGGGTACTTCCGAAAAGTCACAAACTACGATTAAAACAGCTGTTACCTGGTTCCTAAAAGCTCTTTACTAGACGTCAGTTCAGGAAAAAAACTTACATCGAACTGTAAAATTTCCGTGTACGTTTTAATTACCGGATGTTCGATATTTTTTGTTATTGAAAAATATCAGAACCGGTGGACTTTTGTATGAGATTCTATGTCAGTTAATCTGTTTACTAATTAATATCTTTTCAAGTAAAATTTCAAAATCGAGACAACCAAGGCCAAGACAACCAAAATATATAAACTAATAAGTGAAATATGAATTAATCTGTAAACAATGTTGAATTAGATAATTATACTATGCAGAGGGTTTCGGTCACTTCTTAATAAGAATATACGTGACTTTATTATATAAAGGAAAATATGATGACTTTATATATTCAACAAAAGCCAAATTCTTTTGCATGGCCATATTTCATTCAAAAAACAATTACCAATGCGGTTCACATTACCTTTTACAAACTATAATCCCAGATTTTAGGTTTCATGTATCATAATCGTACATGTTTATGTCAAGGAGAGAAAATATGGTGAATTATGAAAAGCCAAGTGAACATATCACGTGTTAATTTCAAGGACAAAAAAATTGATCAACCATAGTCGTTATTCCTAATATTTGACTGAGGATTACCTATACTATACATCATAGACAAACAGAAACTCTAGGAAACTCCAGAAATTGATCCATTAATGCTGTTTGTCAGTGTGATTCATTAAACTTCCAAATCATTACTAAATATGGTAGATTTTAAAATCTTCCAGAGCTCACAAGTTGAGTGGAACTATATAATCGATTACTCGAATTTTAGTTTGACAAGACAACCGATTTAAGAACCTTGAACACATGGACTATGGTTTGAATTGCCAAAACACATCAAAATAAACAATAAGATAATCGAACTAATAGTAGTATCTGTGGTAGAAATAACTAGTTTTGGCTGAAGAGGATATCGTCTAAACTAAAACCAGAGGGCTTAAAGTTAAAATTAAAGACAAGTAAAACGATGAGCCCTCAACCAACCAGCTACCTGTCTAATATAATATTGTACTAAAACTTAAAAAATACATATAAATTTCAGATAGAAAGTTTAATTAATAGAAGAAAGTTTGTATTTTCCAAAAAAGCCAATAAAGTTAACAATGAGCATACCTGGAAGTTAGTTGATGCAGAATTCATGTTTAGACTTGTTGAATAAATTAATCGCTATAATCCAAATCCATCCATTATATTGGTTGAATGTTTAGGCAAATGTCCCAAAAAAACAGAGCAATTTACCTATTTATCGACGAAACCAATCAGACAATAAGCTAGATATATAAATGAAACAGGATGAATCAAAAAAGTCGAAGTGATTGTGAAGAATAATTTATCAACAAATTTTAAAAATAAGAATGAGTAACACTGATATTTCGTATACATTTCATTTGTAAGGGTTTAGATTTGTCCGTTTTTTATGTTAAGTACCATGCAACTGATCAGTCTATACATCATCAGCGGATTATCTCGATACTGACATCAAATAACAGGTTTACTTAAACAAAGTTTTGATAGTGGATAGCAGTGGAATTTAGAATGTGAGTTACGTGCTATTTTGGACACTTCGGTTGGATGTTTTTGCAACTTGCACGAATTTCATATAAATGTTTCTGAAACATATGCGGTGAGACCTTATGAATGACTAACTTTTTATGCATTTAAGACCACTTATCATTATTATAAAACTAGGCAGTGATTCAAGCAAGAACAATTTGAAAATGTATTAGTCAAAAAGTAAAAACAAACACTCTTTCAAAGTTTATCAAACTCTTCGCATTTATCTGACGCTTTTGTTTAAAAAGACATTTGCATACTCTAAGTTGATCAAATAAACGTAGAACGTGAACTAAGAAAATTCTTTAATTCGGAATTAAATGAATGATCATTTATTGGGATATCTAGCATAACTTCGATTGTTTGATACTAAATCAAGTGGAAAAAACTAAACCATATCCCACATGAATTAAATTTAGTAATCCCGGGATGATTATTTTTACTTAACTAAGCTAAATATAGTTATGTAGAGTTGACTGTAATAAGAAGCAATCAGTAACCTGTTTTTTTTCGTTTATTTACCAATTGAGTAAGACAGTTAAAGGTTGAAAACTCATCAGTAATCGATATTTCTATTTAGGCTGGTAGCAAATCTGATGAGCCTGTTTGAAGGGTGTAAGTTTGAACCGATTTAAAGCTGAAGTTTCCTGTTGACTTAAATTAGTATGTATTTCTAATAATAGCAGTACTAATATCAGAATACTAATGAAATATTTCGATCGAAACGCTACAATAATCTGATTCCAATGTATTCTTCAGAATAATTTTGCGATATAAATAAATCAATTTCCCCTCTACTAAAAGACACTATATTGTTCTAAACAACTTGCTGGTTGGAAGTCATGTGATTTAACTACTATCCCACAGCTCAACAAATAGAGGAAAATTCCATTTAAGAACACGAATGGTTCATCGATGTGTACTCAAGCATAGATTCACATAGTAAGTCAGTCAGTCAGTCAGCTACAACGACTGATCTATTCTTGTCGGTAATAAAGTGTTAAACCAGTTTAGCAGAAACAGGTCCCGATATATCATCCATTCGATTGACTTTAACATGGAACAGAAATTGTTTATAATAATTTTTTAGATTTGTTCTAGCTTAACTGATAACTTTGGCACTACATATCGACGATATAATGTCAATAAAAATGATACAATCAATCTATAGAAAGGACTTAATATTCAAAAAAGATAAAACAGTTACTTGTGTATACGCCTGACAATCACAACTCACAAAAAAATTTATTGATGTCAGTAATAATAATAAATTTACCATGCTTCTGATTTACGTCAGTGATGTAGCACTGACCTTAATATAGGACAAAACAAGAGAAATCTATGTGACGTAGATGGTAAGTATGAATTATTTTCAATTTATTCATAAATTGTATGGCTTTCCTTTCTTCATACACACAATCTAATTAGGAGTTACAGGAAACAATCCAAATCTGACAAAAGAAATAGATTGGTATTTTCAAGATCGAATTTAACTTGCACATTTTTACATAAACGTTGCTTTTCTTAATGTACCACCTTTCTAGTTTCTGTGTTTGCGCTAATATTGTTAAAATTCTCATTACAAGTTGAGTGTTTTAACAGGCCAAAAGGAAATATTTATTTAAGTTAGCTTCATCAGTTAAAAACGAATGAAAAGAATTCAACCAATATGGGGTAATAATAGAGATGGCCATATTTTCATAGAATACAATAAACTGTTCTTTATCAACAAGTAAATTATTTTGTTTGGTAACAATTTAGAAAAAAAAACAATTTGCAAAATTATAATTTTCGTGATGCTTATAGGTGGTGTGAAGTGAAATCATCTTGAAGATTACACACAACTATATTAACTATACTTTAACAATAGGGATTTTTGGGTATTCAAAAATGAATGCTTTACACTAAAATAATTTATTTTTAAACAATGTTGAATATGAAATTTTAATTCGAACAATAAAGCTATTTAAATGCGTGTATATTGTGTAATAACACATAGTAATTAGATAAAACATAGCTGAAGTAATAAACATTAAATATATACGTATACTTCCCAATCAATGAGACAATCAGTCTAGGATCCATACTCTATGCTATGCTTGAATAATAATTACAAAATTAGACTCAGTCAGTAAGAACACAGAACTTCGTACGGACGTACATCAGTTCGAGTTGCCATACCACATTAACATAGAGATGCAGTTGTCGATTCAAATCCCGTAGTGGTAGAGGTAGTAACAAAATTAGACTACAAACGATAATAGCAAAAATTAACCGATAACAAGCGTTTTGAGTAAACTCTACTATACATATTCCCTTAAAAGACTGACCAACTACAGTCCTAAGCGTCAGTACGAGGATTCAAACAACCAATATGTATGAATTAAAATTCACCTTATTGCACAAGCCAGTGGCTATATGGACTCAGTAGCTAAGTAGGTAACGCGATGGTGTTTGAAGTGAACGGTACTGGGTTCGAGTGTGAGGGTGAACATTAACATTGGGATGTAGGTACATCCAGCTAAGGAGTCCAAAATAACATGAAAGGCGCGTCCTAGATTCCACTGCTAGCTACTGTCTATTTCTACTAAAAATGCCTGTGACTTAGTGCCAACCCCAACATGGTAATATAGAGGCCATTAGTACACGATGCACATATGCCAAAACAGACCGACCAATTGAAGTCCTAAACATTAATGAGAAAATTCAAACAACCAATATTCATGAACTACATCTTATATATATATATATATATATATATATATATATGTTTTTGTAAATTAATTGCAAGTCTTTTTTCAATATTAACAATTAATTGATGCTTTCAGCTGCATATGACAATATTCACACCCTGAATTCTTCTAAAATTGTGTTTCATAATGGTCATTTAATAGGATATTCCAGTAAACACAACTAGCAATTAGATGTGGATGGATTAGCTTTGGAATAAAGTAGATCAATATTAACTGAAAACAGTAAACCAAATATATGTGGTTTGACTAATCTGTGATTATAGCAAAATAATAACATGGCTAAACTTCAGATCAAAAAGCAATTTACCGCATTAAAAAAATTATTTCGAACGCTTTTGTATACAGATGAAAGGCACCAATAAATTTCTAAGAATTCATACTAGGAAAGTATTATATATAAAAAAGCAATTTTAAATACAAGTAGATCCCCCCGCTACAAATGAATTAATATGACTGTGCAAACATTTTACACTTATATTACAAATTCAACTTTACACTAAAAGAAACCCTCTCAAGTCTGTAAAACTCAAAATGAATTTAGTAACATCAGTGTACGCATGTAAACCTAAAACGGACATTAAAAGAAGTAGTGTTTGCGTGGAGAACATTGATTTATTTCATCAATCATTTATGTACAACGTAGAATTTGACACGTGTGTACATTGGTCCCAGTTATGATTAGCACAGTGAGATAAAATAATCAAGATAAATTGTGGAGTAGAAGTAGTGACAGTATCAGTAGTAGTAGAAATTTATTAGCTTGTTTATTTAATTTACATAAAATCAGATACAACTGGTGACCAAAACTAAGATGCACCACGTAAAAAATAATCTAGATGCACCCGAACCCAAGTTGGTTACTTTTGGGGACAGAGTCTTCGAAGTTTTGACCGAGGGGTTTAATCGATAAAGCAATGGAGCAACATCAAGACGCCGTCCTATGACACGTGCAGGACAAAAGAAATTTCATACGTCATTCGTCCTGTTATGAATCTGGAGACCATGTGTATTATCAGTTTGTAATCAGGGTTTTTTAACTCTTCTAGGTGAATGCTCTATATCTACCAACGCGATGTAAGCCCCACAAGCTCCATTTCTATTTTTTTTTTAATTTCGTAGACAACACCCATGCCGCATGAAGCCAGTAAGAAGGGACTCACCTGGTAGATGCTACAAACGAATGGCTAGGTGAGAACGTTACTAGGTGTATAGCGGAATCACCTCAATTTCGGCAGCATAGAGGTATTCAAAGGGTTATGAAATGAAAAAATCAAACTTATATCCAAAGCTGATGTAAAACACCCGATCGAAGCTGCTACCTTGACGCGGTGGTCAGAATTGCCTATCGTGATGACCCAACCGAGCTATATTGGCTGGAACATATGTTCCTGCAGGTTCTACCATGCCAGGCAGGTCGATTGGCGAACGGTAAGACTAAAAGCAGCAACTCAAGGTCTGAGGGCGAAGTCGTACTGCTGACTGTAGAGAGGTGTGACAGCAGTAAGGTGTTTCCCTCGGACAACCAGCATCACAGCGATGCTGCCTTACCACAAGGAGGGGTGGGGTTAGAAAAGGTCGACCCTAAAAATGCACACCTCACCTTACCTCACGGATTTCCGTCTCCGGCGGTAAGGCCCTTGAAGAACGGAGCTAACACGTCAAAAACCTTCCACAAAAAGGCCGTGCGCGACCGGCCTCAAGCAGTTGTTCCTTGGGCTCTGCGGTCACGCTCCCAAGTCGTCAAGACCAACACTAATCCAATTTCCTTTTCAGGTTCCTCAAGAAATACCCTTTCACGGTGTGGGCAGCCGGGAAGTGACATCAGCCCTCATA